TGGATTGTCACAGGTAAAGCATGTCTGAAAATAGATAAAATAAGTCATGTCTGTTACAAACTATAAAGAGTGCTAGCCAAATGTGAATTTATATATTTTCTGAACGCTGATTCAGACAGGGTTGATACATGGCTTTTCCCAGAGTAGCATCTCCTTTAACTTCCAAAAGAGTGATGGCTGTAGGAATGTGAGACTGCACAGTAGGCATCATCAAAATAGTAACACTCTACATTAAGTGCACCATAATTTAAGATTGCATTTTTAAAAAATATGTCACACAAATCAAATGGTGCTCTTCATTCATGTGTTCAGGTTAAAGTAGAATGCTTGGGGGGGGGATCAGCTGACGGTTGGGAGCTCATGCTGGGCTGTGATCCTGCATCTTATATTTCAAAGGAGGGCTCCATCAGGTGACAGCTATGTGGTGACAACTGCTAGCACTGAGCGACAACTCAGACTAGGTGGCACTGCTTCTCACTATCTTCAGGAGACCTTTGTGGTAGATATTACTGTTATTTCCCGGGAGAAAAACTCAGGATTGTGAGTATTGGTGAGAGCTGGGATAGACTTTGCCCAGCCTCTCATGGCAGTAAAAACCAGATGGTAGCTTGAAGAAACCCATGCTTGAATCTGAAGCCATCACTGCCTCCAAACTGAGAAACAATACTTGTTTGTCAGCCTCCTGGCTTACAATGTTTTCTTTTTTCTTCCTTTTGGGGGGGGGAGAGGTTCAAGACAAGCTTTCTCTATGTAACTGTCTTGGCTGTCCTGGAACTCACTTTTGTAGACTAGGCTGGCCTCAAACTCACAGAGATCTGTCTGCCTCTGCCTCCAAGTGTTGGGATTAAAGGCGTGTGCCACCACCAACCAGATAGGCTTATGATGTTTTTAAAGCCTATATTTCAGTGTTCAGCAATGTTGCTGCTTCTTAATTTTTAATTTTATGTTACGATGTTTTGCCTTATTTTTGAGGCAGAATCTTGTGTAACTCAGGCTGGCTCAAACGTGCTGCACAGCTGAGTATCATCATGGGCTGCTGAAGCTGCCTCCAGCTCCCAAGTTTTGGAATTACAATTATGTGCCACTACAGCCCCCTGGTTTATAGTCTTGTTATAATATTCCTAGATGGAGTATGTGTTGGCTGTGGGGTACCTGCAGCATGCTACTTTCAGAGTACTATACTCACCCTTAACCAGGGAAACAGGATCCTTCCTCTCTGAAAGAATCGAAGCATGTGGTCAAGGTGGTGTCCAGGTGTGAAGGAAGTGAATTGGCTACTGCATCTATTGATGCATGGGGGTTTAAATGAGTTCATATACTGCATGGCAGGTTGGTGGGTTGTTGTCTTTGGGGATACTTACTGGGAAGAGAAGGCATGAGGGACTGGTTCTCATTCCTGTGTAGATCTTGGCACTGTGAGTGGCACCTATGTGGGCATTGTCCTGCCTAACCATCCTTCCTCCTGGAGACCAGAGGGACATGGAGCACCATCTGCAGTCTCAAAACACTGAAGCTTGGTTGCCTCTTCCCTCCAGCAAACATGGAATGTGCAACCTCAAGGCAAGGAAGTAAATTCAGGACTGGTGGCATACCTGGGGCCTGCTGTGCACAAGTCTGTGCCAGGAAGCGCAGGCTGCGAGGGCTAGCCTTGATGGCAACTGGGGAACAGAGGCTTGGGCAGAGGAACAGAGGCAGCTTTTCAGGGAGAAGAAATAGGTTTGCTTGTAAGCAATTCATGGTCTTGCAGAAGAAGTATTTCTACAAGGTCACTTATGCCACCTTCCCACAAGATCTCGGTGAGGTTGGGGTTAGATTAGCTCAGAACCCACTTTATAGGAGTCTGCTGACATTGCACATTGTGTGCTGTCAGGTGAGGAGAGCTTGGACACAGGATCATCTGTATGGTGCCTTGGCAGGCAGGGCTGCCAGCAAAAGTCAAAGAATAAAAGGTCATGGCTAGGATGTACATGGGAGAGATGAGGCGACCTACATACTGTATTGTCAAGAGATTCTAACATGTAAAAGCAAAGGCCATGGGTCTTAACCATTTGCACACATGTATCATTCTTATATGTGAGACCCTAATCCCACCTCATCTTACGTTCCAGGAGTTCAAGAGCAAAGATAGTTGACCACTGTGCACTTATCTCAGTGTGATAACTATAATAGGAATATTCCCAGTATTTGCTGAAAGAGTGCAAACTTGGTTGGATCACAAGTTGTAGAAAAACCTTGTGTGATGCTCTATGGACTTGTGGGTTGAACATCTGTGTAGTGAGCTGAACATCTTTTTAATCAGAGACACCCCCACACACACACACGGAAGCAAACTGGCAGATTGCATATGTATGGGTGTGCACATATAAGCTGGGCCTGAAGGCTGCATACTGTGGTTGGAAGGAAAGGGAGACCTTGCCGCTTGACCAGTGGTGACAGAAGAACAGGAGATCCAAACGGAGAGTGGCAGGCAGCATCCTACCTGGTCCCTGACTTCTTGCAGCCAGGCGTGGACCTCTCTGTTTGGCATCGCTGTGCTTCCAGGTGGTGGCTGGCTGCTGCTTGTTGATTACAGTTTGAAGTTCTGTGCTTTGGTCCCATGCTGCTCCACAGCAAGGAAATCCAGTGTCACTCTAATGAGGTTTCTGTCCATACTTTGGAAAGAAGAAAGGCTTTTAATTAGATTGGTAGTAATTGAGCTCCCAAACCATATAAGCCTCTCTCGGGAGAGGCAGGCACAGATGCAATTAAAAGAGAAGGCACCTGAATAGAACTCTTGCTAACTCTAAGTCCCTCAGTGACAACAACTACATAATAACTTGAGGCAACAGATATACATCCTGAAAGAGCTTAGTGCTTCCCAATGATGTGGGAGGTTGATAGGAATGGGATCAGTACTGCGGTTAAAGTGTATACAACTCTGTCGGGAACATTTGCTCAGCATAGAACGTGGGGCACGTTAACCTACAAGTGTCTACCTCTAAACATTGGTACACATTTTAGTTTAAAAGGTTTATTTCTTGCTTTGATCAAATTGCAGTTTCTTTTGGATTCATCCTGGCTTGGAATACTCCGTTGCTTTGTCCCATGCCCCTCCACAGACAGCCCAGTCTTCTTTCTCATAGTTGATCATCACACTTTCACAGGTACCCACAGGGACATCTATATATCAAAGTTTTGATAATTCCTTATATGTGGACTACATTTTAATTTCCACAAGGGGAAGTGTTCAGTTCATGTGTGTAGCCACAGACAGTACCCTGGGATATGTATGCTCTGTTCTTTTCACCAGGGTCAGTTTTTAGTGAGTCTTTATCAGGGAGCCAAGCCAGGCAGTTCCTGATACAAGAATTATCTTAGCAGGTCTCCATGAGTACTCTGCCTGGAGGGTGCTGGTTGCTAACTTTCATAGTCCTTTATGTTAGGATTGGAGAGTCCAAACTGATTGACACCATTCTCAATGTAACTTGTCTCCTTAAACATTTGTAATTGGAATTTTTTCCTTATGTGTTAAGGGTGTTTTGTTTGCATGTGTGTATACGCATCACTTGTGTGCCAGGTGGCCAGGGCAGAAGAGGGCATTGGATCTCATGGAACTAGAGTTACCAATGTGACTTCTGGGACTAGAACCCGCGTCCTTTAGGAAAACTGCCAGTAAGCTTAACCACTGAATGATCTTCATGGCTCCCCCTCTCACTTGTGTTTTGCTGACACAACTGGGTGTGACCAGCTGTGTGAAAAAGTGCGGGTGGCAAGCCCATTAGAAGGACCTCATTTGATGAGACTCCTTTAGGTGGTGTGCTAGTCAGCTTTCTGGCACTAAGTGCCTTAAATAATGAACTTATAAAGAGAAGAATGGTTGGCTCACAGTTTTTGAGGCCCCAGTCAATAAGAAGTTTGTCCCATTGGTTTTGGCTTGTAGTGCAGCAGCGCATCATAGTGGATGCCTGTGGCAGAGGAAAACTGCTCACTCATGGCCAGGAAGGGAAAGGGTTGAGGAGGAAGGACTGGTATCTTAATGCACCTGGGAAGTGCATGTTCACCTCACCAGAGAACCTCCCATTTGACCCATCCTTGTTTTTTTTGGGGGGGGAGGGAGTTAGGGGAGTTTCAAGACAGGGTTTCTCCATGTAGCCCTGGCTGTCCTGGAACTCACTCTGTAGACCAGACTGGCCTTGAACTCACAAGAGATCCATCCATCTCTCTGACTCCTCAGTGCTGGCGTTAAAGGGGTGTCCCACCACTGCCCAGCTTCATCTGACCCATCTTGTAAAGGCTCTACTATCTCCCACTAATGCCAAGGTGGAGATGGTGGCTTTAGCATTTCAGGGGACCCCAACTCTAGGAGGTGCTCAGTGTCTGAAACAAACCATGGTAGTTGTACTATCCCAAACACCTGGGTGGTATGTGGACTTGATTCTCATCTGGACCCTATTTTGGAAATGGAGATTTGGATTTTGAAATCAGAAAGATGGAAGTAGGTTAAGCCTATTTGTAAGGTTGCCCTACCTTGCTTGTATTTTTATTAGAGGTGTATTTATATTAGAGAATCTGACCTGTTGCCTGCTGGATAGACAAAGAGGAAAGGACCCAGCCCCATGCAGAGAGATGAAGCAGACTGATGGCCCATTCAGACTCTTTAATAAGGGAGGAGAGCTCCCTGAGACCATGCCTCTTCCTGGGGAAGTGTGAAGATAAACGGCCAAGGACTTCAGCTGGCATCATTTCTGATGGTGGGATGGCCTGACTTTAATTTTCTTCTTTATATTTTGCTGTCCTTTGTAAGTGCTCTGTAATAAATATGTATTACTTCGGAATAAATAGGAAAGCTTGACTCTGGGGAGGTGCTGCTGGCATAGATTTGGAAGTGCCTGGTGCATTCTAATTTCCACACTCAACACTGATCCCCGAAGTCAGATTTGTGCATGAATCCTTGCATCATGGCTCCTGTGGTGCACATAAGCTGTATTTATGTCACCCTTTTCTCTCTGTTTTTTTTTAAGGATGAGAAGAACCAAGTTTTAACCACCAACATTTGGCTGCAAATGGTAAGTTCAGGCAGAGGCAGCCTTGCCATGGGCCTGCCTGTTCTTGCCTTGTGTGCATGTGCTTGAATTGCTTGGGAAGAAGTTCCCAAGAGAGCTAAGGCTGGTGTACCCCCCCCCCAACTAAGAGTGCCATGTCTGATGGGATGGAACCAAGGATGTAAGACTGACAATAGCAGGACTCTGTGCTCGCCTGTGTTTCACTGCTGGATGATTTCAGGCCACTGGAAAACATCCCACACCAGAGAAACAATCAGATGCAGGGTGGCATCTAGAGATCGATGGCCTGTGTTGTAGCTGCTCCCTAGCTCCTAAGTGCCTTTCCCAGTGGTTGTCTGAATTCTCCAGAGCTGCATGTTGGAAGAATGGAGAATCCTTAGCCAGGGTGTTTACACTCCATGCTCTGGAGGCCCAAGAGAGGCTTGAAAGGACACAGAGAATGGAATATGATGATTGGTAAGCCCTCATTCGGGAACCACTCAAAGCACAAAACATTCTAATTGCCATAGTGACACTCAGGATGCTTCCGATTTGAAGTCTGTGGGGTTTTCAGACTGGGGACACTCATCTAGCAAAATCTGTGAGAATTACTCCAAAATCCCCAACCCTCCCCCACACAGCCCTAAAATGCTTCGGCTGCTAGCTTTTGCAAAAAGGATATTCAACTTGGATTTTATCCTTGAAATTTTAATTTGACATACATATTTCTAATCTAAATTATTTAACTGTAAATATATAATTTCCATCAAATTGTAACTATCAGAATATGTGTTTAAAGTTGCCAGCCTCTAGTTTTGGTGGAATCTTCATGCCATTGTAATTCTGTGCACATAAAACCTTTATAAACATAGCTCCCTTGTCTTTGGTATATTATACCTGGTTTCTTTTCCTCTTTGCATCTTCATTTCTCATTTTTCTTCTCCCTCTTTCTTTTCTTATCCTTCCCCTCTTGTTTTGGCTTCTTTCTTTTCACTTCTGTTTTCTTTCTTTTTAAGACAGGGCCCAGCTGTGTGGTTTAGGCTGGCTTTGAACCTCCAGTCCTTCTGCTTCACCATCCCAGGTTCTGTGAATACAGGCAGGCATCACCATGCATATTTGTACATTTGCACTTCTAGTGTGTTGTTTAATTAGGATTTCATCCTATTGGAAAATGTTATATTTGAAACCCTTCATTAATAACTCTACTTGGATTTCTGTCAAATGTACGTATTTATGTAACATCATTCCTTTAGGCCACAGTACATCAAAAAATTATTCTGAGCTGATTTAAGGGTGCTACTGCTGGTATATAATTCACTGACGTGATGTGGATTGCAGAGTACTAATTGGAAACTCTTGTCTGTCAAACAAGTCTCTTTGTTTTAAATTGACTTAGACATCCACAGATGACCTTTTATTTCTAGAAATGAGTGACTAATGCAGTTGCAGCCCTTGGTTCTGCCACTGCCTGATTACAGAGTTGGTGATCAATGGTCTTTTGCAGCCATGTTATTCAGTTTCTTGAACCTCCCAGGTTATCAAGAATAATGTTGTTTCCTTTAAATGTGTGTCAGCTGACTGAATGACTAGTTTCTCCTTAATTTTCTTGTTGTTGAGAAGTTAAAGTTAAAGGAATTAAACCCATCTGAGTTTGGAAAATACTTGATTGATAATTAACATGCACCAATGCTTTGGATTGGTCACGTGCTCTATTCTTGAGTCAGTGGTATAAAAGTAAGGACTGGGTAAGTTGGGGAGCCTGTCTTTCTTATAGTGTACTGGCAATAGTGGAGGCAGAGGTGGCCCTTGGCAGATGAGGGTTATAAGGAATTGGTGCTGGAGAGACAGTCCCCTGCAGGAGTCAAACAACTACAGCCCACCTGCACCTGCTCATGGGTGCCCCCTCCTGGCCTCCTTTGCTTATGCCCAAATGTGTGAAGTCTGGGGATGGCCAGCTGCATCCTCCAGGGCACTCATCCCTCCCTTCCTATTCTTGTTTCTTTCACAGTCATCTTAATCTGTTTAAATGGCAGCACATCTTCTCAGACCACAGATCCCAGTATCACCCTGTATCACCCTGAACCTTTCATGTTGAACCATTCAAAAATTCTGGTAGCTCAGCTTTTTTTTTTAAATTAAATTAGAAACAAGGTTGCTTAACATGTCAATCCCAGGTCCCTCTCCCTTTCCCTCCCTCTTCCCACGCCCTCCCACTAACCCCCATCCCCCCCAGTACCCCCTCCTTTCCTGAGGGAGGGTGAGGCCCTCCATGGGGGTGTCCATAGTCTGTCATTTCATCCAGGCTGAGAGTGCATCTCTCATTGTGGGATGGGCACCTAAAGTCCATTTATATACCCGGGATAAATACTGATCTACTACCCAAGGTCCCATAGATTGCCTAGGCCTCCTCACTGACACCCACATTCAGGGGGTCTTGATCAGTCCCATGCTGGATTCCCAGCATCAGTCTGGGATTCAAGAGCTACCCCTTATTCAGGTTAGCTGTTTCTGGGGGGTTAAACCAGCCCAGTCTAAACCCATTTGCTCATCAGTCCTCCCTCTCTGTCACTGGGTACCTTGAGTTCAGCTCAGTGTTTAGCTGTGGGAGTCTGCCTCTACTTCCATCAGTCATTGGATGAAGGTTCTGTTTCCCAGACTCTCTGGCAGTGGGATTGTAGGCTGGCACTCCCCAGATCTAAGTCTAAAATCCATATATGAGAGAGTACATACCATGTTTCTCTTTTTGTGACTGGGTTACCTCACTCAGGATCATTTCTTCTAGTGCCATCCATTCACCTGCAATTTTCAAGATTCCATTGTTTTTTTTCTGCTAAATAGTACTCCATTGTGTAAATTACCACATTTTCTCTATCCAATCTTCAGTTGAGGAGCATCTAGGTTGCTTCCAAGTTCTGACTGTTACAAATAATGCTGCTATGAACATAGTGGAACAGATGTTCTTGTTGTATGAATGTGCATCTTTTGGATACATGGCGAAGAGTGGAATTGCTGGGTCTTGTGGTAGACTGATTCCCATTTTTCTGAGGAATCTCCATACTGATTTCCAAAGTGGCTGTATAACTCTCACCAGCAGTGTAGGAGTGTTCCCCTTTCTCCACATCCTCTCCAGCATAAATTGTCATTGGCGTTTTTTATTCTAGCCATTCTGATAGGAGTAATATGGCATCTCAGAGTTCTTTTGATTTGCATTTCCCTGATGGCTATGGATGTTGAACACTTTCTCAAGTGCCTCTTAGCCATTTTACACTCCTCTATTGAGAATTCTCTATTTAGTTCCTTACCCCACTTTTTAAATGGAGCCTTTGGTGTTTTGGAGACTTGCTTCTTGAGTTCTTTGTAAATTTTGGAGATCAGCCCTCTGACAGATGTGGGGTTAGTGAATATCTTTTCCCATTCTGTGGGCTGCCTTTCTGTCTTCTTGACTGTGCCCTTTGCCTTACAGAAGCTTCTCGGTTTCAGGAGGACCTGTTAGTTGTTAACCTCAGTGTCTGTGCTACTGATGTTATGTTCAGGGAACTGTCTCCTATACCAATTTGTTCAAGGGTACCACTCATAAGAGGTTCAGTGTGACTGGATTTATGTTGAGGTCTTTGATCAATTTGGACTTAAGTTTTGTGCATGGCGATAGACATGGATCTATCTGCATTCTTTTGCATGCCAGCATCCAATTATGCCAGTACCATTTGTTGAAGATGCTTTATTTTTGTTTATTTTTAGCTTCTTTTTCAAAGATCAGATGTTCATACATGTATGGGTTAATATCAGGTTGTGCAATTCGATTCCACTGGTCTACCTGTCTATTTTTGTGCCAATACCAAGCTGTTTTCAGGACTACAGCTCTATAATAAAGCTTGAAGTCAGGGATGGTGATGCCTCCAGATGCTGCTTTGTTGAATAAGGTTGTTTTGGCTATCCTGGGTCTTTTGTTTTTCCATACAAAGTTGATTTTTGTTCCTTCAAGGTCTGTGAAGAATTGTGCTAGTATTTTAATGGGGATTGCATTGAATCTGTAGATTGTTTTTGGCAGGATTGCCATTTTTACTACATTGATCCTGCCTATCCAAGAGCATGGGGGATCTATTTTCTGATGTCTTCTTTGATTTCTTTCTTTAAGGATTCAAAGTTCTTGCGATACAAGTTTTTCACTTGTTTGGTTAGCGTTACCCCCATGGTATTTTATGTTGTTTGTGGCAATTGTAAAGGGTTCTGTTCTCTGATTTCTTTCTCAGCCATTTTATCATCTGTATATAGTAGGGCTACTGATTTTCTTTTAAAATAGATCCCACATCTAACCATTGTTAAGTTCATGACTTGCCCTGTTATAAGTCTTCCTTTCTCTCCTCTGTCAGTGTAGGCTTCCAGCCAGTCATCCTATCCATCCCCCTTTTCTCTCCTAGTTGCGTCTATTTTCCGCACAGCAGCCAGAGTGACCTAAGTGAAAACCCATGCCTCCAGGCCCAGATCCCTCCCTTTCTGGGGCTCTGCTGTCTGTGGATAAGCTAAGAGCTGAAGCCAGTGAGGTTACCTTCCCTGCTTACATCTTCTCTTTTACATTCCCCCTGCGCTCTTCTTCCTTGATCTGCTCCCCACTGTCTTGATGTTATCCACACCTGGGTTTTTTCATGCACTGCTCTCCCGACCTAGAAAGCCATTTGATGGGTTCCCTTGCTTTCTTCTGTTGTCTTCCCAAACACCACCTCTTGAGTTGCTTCTTCCCAACCCTTCTCATGCATATTCATTCTACCATGCTTATGGCCCCTCCCCCACCTCTTTTCACTGTTGTGAACAGAGAAGCATGGTAGACAAATGTTCTACCACTGAGCTATGCTCCAGCCCCCAATTTATTCTCTTTGCTGCTCTTTTCCTGCATCAAGCTTCTCGCTCTCTGACATACTTTGTGCCCACTGCTCCATATGCTCCTTGCCTCCAGGTCATGCCCCTACCCCACCACCTGCCCGCATGAGCTACTTTCATGTGCTGGAGTTGAGCCCCACTATATCTGC